AGAAAGAGGAATCCCTCTCGACCCGACCTGTACTTTGGGACCACCAAGATCACCCTTAGTGAGCAGATGGAGGTGTTGGGTCTTTCTATAGACAGCAAGCTCACATGGACCAGCCATCTGTCCAACATCTGCAGACGTGCTGGACAACGTCTTGGTGCACTGCGTAAGCTGGCCAACAAGCTTGATGCCAAGGGCAGGGCCAACATTTATAAGACCCAGGTCAGGAGCATCATGGAGTACTCCTGCCTGGCCTGGATGAACGCCTCTCCGACCACTCTTAGGCAGCTAGACCTCATCCAGAAGAAGGCTCTAAAAATCATCGGGGTGGATGAGGACCTTGCCCTTCAGCAGTACGCCATCAGCAAGCTGGGTCACCGGCGAACAGTTGCAGCAACAACCGTTCTCTATAAAATGCACACCTCCAACTGTCCAGTGGACCTCAAAGCTCTGCTACCCCAAGCCCACACCGTGGGAAGAATCACCCGGAGAGTACTGCCAAGTCACGCCCTGAAAGTCCCCAAGTCTAAAACCAATTGCCTTGACAGGAGCTTTCTCCACTCTGCCATAACAACTTGGAATAGCCTTCCCCCTGCAGTTGTTGGAGATATTACATCTACTGGTGTTCACGCCTTCAAGAAGAGGCTGAACAAATACCTCCTCAGTATATGACTGTTATCCCTCACAAAGCTTCATGGACTTTTATCCATAAACATTCTGTTTTTATTTACCCCAGTCTGAGTAGCTGCAGATCATTGATAGGCTCTTTGATTTTCTCTCAAAGCCTGTATCTGCTCAAGCCGAATTAAAAAAAAAAAAAAAAAAAAAAAAAATGAAGTTAACAAGATATGTAATTCGTCTCCCTCCTTTTCTTTCTTCCTCTTCCTCTTATTTCTCGCACAGCTCGACCTGGACACGTCTCCGTGTCCTCTGTCCGTCTTGCTGCTGCTGCGGCTGAACAGATGATTTGTTTCAGTGCTCAGATGCGTTATCTACTTTAAGCCGACATACGGATATTATAATATTCAGTTTTGTGGGCCAAATTTATTTTATATGCCAACATCTATGAAAGAAAGAGCCAGGCCACGGAGCGCGATGCGTCATTTATGCACAGATGGTTCCGATATTAATGACATTTTTGGAGTTTATGTTGTGATCTGTGCGCTCAACCCACCTTTGTCACATGAGGTTTGAATATGAGCAACTTTATGTGAGTGTCTTCATTTGTGGAAAAGGGTGTTTGTCTTACCAGTGGGTCCAACATTACACACACCAAATCCATCTGTGCTCATATGAGAGAGTGTGGAGGACACTTGTTGAGGAGCTGCCCTCTGTCGCCATCTTGTGGCATTACTGTCTTAAGACATCTCTTGATCTTTTTGACTACTTCATGAAAATAGTAATACGCCTCGCCTGTGGCGGATTTAAAGGCAAGGAGAGGAGCTGATGTTATTGGTGAAAACAGGTCTCGGCTGTGTTAAACCCACTCCACGCCCTCTCTCCTCCCCGTCCACGACTTATGCTGCTGGGAGGAGCTGAGTTAGGGAGCGGGGATACTTACACCGGGCTGCACCACTCACCAAAATACCAAAATGTGCTTGGGAACGCCTTGTCAGCGCGGTGGATCTGACTGACGCTGCGCTTGCGGCACGTCTCCGGCGAGGCACGAAAATAGAGCCCAATGTTTCTTCATGGAAATGCAGTCAGACTGAGATGCTAAGGCAGGAGAACTACCGCATCTGCACTGCAAAATGATTAATCTAGTGATTATTACTTCAAGGAAATGATAAAGAAATGATCATAAATGTTCTTCCTTCAGCTGCGTCACCCTGCAGCAGTCCATAACGGACTGGCTCGAGGTCTCACTACAAACAAGTGGCTGCTGGAAGAGAGTAGGTGAGTTGTGTTTAGTCTCTTTGCCAAAGAAATCAGGCAAAGCTAAAAAGATGTTTTGTGGCTAGTGCTATGGCTGGGACCCTATATGTACTGTTGATGAAGTTCGGTGCTGTTCTGAGCATTATTTGTGGCTATAGAGTGGCGCTTTGGTTGAGGTTTGTTTATGGCTCCTCAGACTGCTGTGTATTGCTATCATGTGGTCATTACTAAAGTTGGTACAACTAGAAAAGCAAGCGGTCGGCAACATTCATCTCTCGAGGGGGTGTTTCACTTGGTGCTATGGTGTGTTTGACCGTAAATTAATTTTACGCCAGAATATCCCTTTAAGCCTTGTAACTAAATGTGCTGAGATGAAGTTTAGCTGGTTGCTTTCATCCATATATATATATATATATATATACGTCCATGCATGGCAGCCATCTTGCTCCAGGCAGCTCGCCCACTCATAAAATTACAGTCTACATGCACGTAGCGTTTAAATAACCATAGATTGCTATACAAATTAATATAATGAGCTATAATAAGGCATGACTGACCTGATTTTGTAGCCAAAATGTAACAGAGTTTTTAGGCTCAATAAATCAAAAGTTGTCAGAACTTCCAACACGTGGACCAGTAGCTTTTAAGCCCAGTATTAGAAAGTAGAGGGTTATGTCACTGAGACTATACCTCCGTGTTTTGTACAGTCAATATAAAAACATAGTTTATGGTGGGTATCTCTCAGGTTATTAAGTTAGCATCTACATATTGAATTTTGTGCAGAGTTGCATCATTTGACCCACCAGCTCAATTACACATGCTATTTGACTGCTGTGTTACTTTTATGACCCTTCTATTCTGTGATCATTGAATCTAGACTCTCCCCTCTTTCACCTTCCTCACCGTTATTACACGTTTGGAAAGTACCCATTAAATTTAACCTGCTCATATCTTCCATCTATTAAGTACTCATTGCCTGTGCAGCAATAAAAATTCATTAAAGTGAATCCTGGTATTTGAGCAGTGGAGACGTGCAGAGTCTCATTCCCTTGCTCCCTCAGGCTGCAGCGCCAAAACATGATTTTAGTTTGAATAGTGTTTCTGAGCATTGCAAGGCCTTGTTCTGACAGAGAGAAACACCTGTATCGTGACATTTCTCAATTATCTCTTAGTTGTACTGCAGGATGTTGTTTACCTGCCATGTTTGATAAACAGGAGCCACATATTGCTGTGGTAGTGAACGAGTTCACATCACTGCAGACAGATATAAAAATGTTGCCTTCATAACTGCTGTTTGTTGTTAGCTGGAACTGAGGATTTCTGTGATATACATGTCTACCACTTACTGCGGCTCTCACTGCACATGCTGCCACTGTCATATTTGTTGTGAGGAAGACATCTGAAAGGGATTTTCTGGCTGTATGATTCAAAGACATCAGGGTACAGAGCAGGTAAACAGCAACTGGAGCTTCCCTTATGCAACACAGCAACTACAGCAGCAGATTGCTTTTTTGCCACAACAAAGTCGTCCAGTTCCTGATTTGACTTTCACAAATAATTTGACCTGCAGATTTGCCTGTTTCTAATTTAGGATGAAATCGAATTTTGCTGTGTAATGTAAATGACTAGCTCATGTATCTGTTCTTTGTGTTTTTTATCTCCTCCAAAGTACCGCATGTCATAAAACAGTGACTGAGGGCAATAACATGTTTAATGACTGCCTAAACAGTTGACTTGTGTGTCAATGTCAACAAAATTGTTTTTGTGAGCTTTATGATTGTGGTTGAAGTTCTGACAGCTGGTAACAACAAAGCCATTCAAAAGTTCATCCAACATATTAAGCTAGGCAATTTATTGCACTCTTATGGATGGTTTTATAGCCTTCGTGGTTAACTTTGATTGCACACTACAGTGGAGAGTTATTTTGAATCAGATACTACTGTATTACATCTCCAAAATTTAGACACAGCAAAAGGAAACCAGTTTACTGGGAAAAAGCAGGTCTCAACTGGGCCCTTTGGAAAAAAAAAAAAGACAAACTTACCCTACACATACTGGGTAATTACTAGGTTTAGTACTGGAGCAGGAATGACTGTATGTGAGGGTTAGGCAAGTTCATCTCTTGGTACAAACAATAGATATTTGAGGAACATGTTGAGAGTAATAGGAAACACTGGAATTAATTTACAGATTTCTTAGATATCAGCAGGGGCGTCACCAGGAATTGTAAGTCCCATGACAAAATACCACAATAGGCCCTTTTTACTGCAACATACATTCAATGTTTTTTATTTTATTTATTAATTTCTTCATCTGTTAATTTGACAGGGATGATACATCGAGACAAAGTTACATTTAAAGAGCAATCAAAGCAGTGTGTAAAGGACACTCACCATGGCAAAATTCTAGTCCTCATTCCTGACAAGCCTATTGGAAATAAGGCACATGATACAAAACAGAACAGGCAAGAAAATCAACAATCAAAACAGACACAGACAAGCAGTCACTTAGATACAGAACAGTGTGGACAATTAGCAAGATACGTGTGTGAGAGATAGTGTACAAAATATGTATATTTTTAGATTTGCCTCAATTAAAGCCAATAGTTTTGTTTCCATATTGAAAGCTTTGGGTTCAGAAAAAAACACAATTCTGAGGGCCATTTTGAGAAGGGCCCCCAGATCCTGAGGTTTTCTGACGTGTTAAGGTTTACAAAAAAGCTGCTATCTCGGCCTCTGTAGTAGATAGAAACAAAATTCAAAAAGTATTTGAGAGCTTATACATGTGGTTTTCAAGAAAGCTCTCTTTTAGTTTTGCGAACCTTCATCACATTTTTGAAAACCTTAAACAAACAAACTCAAATGAAATAAAGCGGCTGTATAAATAAAAGTAAAGGCTCTGCACTGGAGAATGACAAATAATTTGCTTTCTGTAAAACAAGTGGCAGTCATGATAAAGTGTCCATTCAATACAAATGTAAATATAGAAAATAAGGTGTTGAAAGGGTAAACAGCTGCCCCAGTATAGAACCAGTACAAAAGCAGAACTAAAAACTAAAAAATGAATAAATAAATACGTGGCTGACAGTGTGTTCATCTCTGTTCTCACCCAAAGTCATGCAACACTCACAGAAAACGCTGATAGTGTGAGCCAAAGCACTCCATATGAAGAGGTTGTTCACACTGCTGGATGTTTCTCCTCTGAAGCTGCTCTCTGCCTCAGTCATTGTTTACTTCACTCATGAAGCTCATCAAGCACATAGCAAGATCCGAGCATGAACCCGAGCGCTTTATTCGCCTATCAAAGGCTAGTCATTTTACGGTGATTTCATTCACCGCGACTCCAGAAATGATTAAAAAACTACAAAATGACGTATCCGCGCTCCCGCTGATATGCTGACATGCGTACACAGAGCAGAGCTGTCCCCCCGCGACTCTCTCCCCGCCTCGTCTCACACAGTCTGTCAGCCTCTGTGCAGCACCTTCGGAGCAAGTAGGGGCGCCTACAGCAGCGGGGGGACGCCAATTTGACAACAACAGTTAATACAAAACCGCTTTGCGGTTAAGATTTATTATTATTATCTTTTATTTTATTTTTTGGAAGTGCTCGTGCCGCCCCCCATGAGTCATGACACAAATGCCGCCCCGGGCGGCTGCCCTGTTCGCCCGTGCCTAGAACCGCTACTGATCAAAACAGACACAGACAAGCAGTCACTTAGATACAGAACAGTGTGGACAATTAGCAAGATACGTGTGTGAGAGTGTACAAAATATGTATATTTTTAGATTTGCCTCAATTAAAGCCAATAGTTTTGTTTCCATATTGAAAGCTTTGGGTTCAGTTAATGTATCCATTTTTGACGGTAGAACATTCCCAATCGTTGGACCTTTGACTGTAAAAGAGGACCAGCCAGAAGCTGCTCTGTGCTCCTTTACTTGAGCATTTTTGAGTATTATACAGACCAAGTTTCGGGCCGGTCCATTCACAGACTCAGAAAACAATTTTATAAGAAAAAGTATAATAAGTCATACTTTTGTTGATGCAATGGCACCATGTCATTAGCTTTTGATCCAATGTTTCTAGGGTTTGTTTGTATAATAGCAGGTTCATTACTGATTGGGTGTTCAAGACAGCTGTACAGTAGGAGACTGGTGATAAAATCATGGAGTGCATGTACAACTGGGCAGCAATTTTAACTGGGAATCCAAGACAACACCTCGATATTTAATAGTTTAGGTTAAGATGTTGTTTGTAGCTGCTGTTAGACCCCTGCTCAACTCCTGTTCAAAGACTAACGTGGAGAGAAGAGCAGCAGCCTTAGAATGGAGCCTTGTGGCACAACCCGTTTACACTTTCAAAGAGATGATCTTATTTTTTTTTATTTTAACTCATAGCTGTTGAAATTCTATTATCTATTATGGAAAGTTTTAAGAACTTAAAAATTGCATAACACCTCAAAAAATTGGATCAATGACATTTGACTGTCAAAAATCAGCAGTATTAGATTTTTCTTTTCTCAAAAGTCATCATACAAGCAATCAAAGGGCAAGATAAGCAAAAACAACCTGGTCCACAGGTTCCCAAAATTGAGTTAAACAGAGGGCTCCTCTCAGGAGTTTTAACTAAACTCTATAAGAGGCAAGGTGATTCAAAAGAAAATGGCTTTTTGAAGAGTAATTTAGCTATTTAGAATTTTGCCTTGAGTAAAAGTTGTCTCAAATCTCCCCACTCTCCCCTAATCAGAGCACTTATTTTCACATCAGTTTTGAAGTTGTCCAGTTAGAAGATCTGTCATTGTTACTCCACATTATGCAGCAGTTACTCTCTTAATTGCGGACTCCATTAGCATAAGGTTATCTTATCCCTCTCAAACTTCCTCTGAGCTCTTGACACGACGCTGAGCCTTTGAGGACTGAACTTTTCAATGTAAAGAGCAGAGCAAAGGTGATGTATAAGGTTTTCACTCCTGCAGCACAAATTAGCTGGAATGGAGCTGTGTTGGATCCAGTGATGGTGGTGGGCTTGGTTATAATGAGGGTCAGTAGGGCAAAACTGGGACATGGAGAGGAGGAAACTGTGGGCTCTTTGAGTGGCACTGTGGTGGACCTGAACAAGAAGGCTGCTGCAAAAGGAAAAATGAGTTGAGGCTGTTGCTGTTACAATTATTGACCACCTGGACTTTAGCCCTTACCTCTCAAGTGTAGTGTGAAACAGATCTGTAATGATCCAGCTGTCAGTCAGACCTGTCTTTAGTGCCTTTCATTTCCCAGAGCCTGTGTTATTTCACTCTGTCTGTTTTGGGTTATTACTTGTTTGGTAAGCTAATTCCTTTGTCCAACATTAGTCTCTCATTTTCAATACTCTACTGATTTCCTATAAACCTCTTAATCACAATTTGAACTGTAGTTATGGGGCAGTTAATTTTAAAGTGAGCTGTTGACACAAAGCCCAAAAAAAGAAGTCAATTCCACTGTGAGGTAAACATCGTGTGTAAACCTGATGTGTTTTTATTGACTTGCAGGTCGTCTCATGTTTCTTCACAGACTGAGCTCCCCCACAGATCGATACCACCCCTAACTATGCTGAAAGGATCTTAGCTTGGCTTTTACTTGAAAAGAAGTCTTTTCCTCCACCTACTGACAGAGATAATTGGTATGGGTACAATACACAGAAATGTGTCTCCACATTGCAGGTATCATTAGGGATGGGTCATGTGTGCAGCATGCAGGCAGCAGGGAGGCACATAAGACAGAGATAAAGAGCAGGGTTATTAAAAGAAGCCCCTGTGCAGGAATGCAGCAGAGGGTGACAGGTTTGAGGAAGGGATGAAGTTTTAAAGCCAAGCCAAAGGAAGACAGTTTCCCTGGAATCCTGGAGCGTGACTGAGCCACAGATCCTGCTCTCCTGGGGCACCCACTTGATCTGAGATGTGCTAATGGCACTAATGATCATCATTCAGATCACCATTTCGGTCAAAAAACTGGTGATTCAATCGATGACATGAAAATGTTATGGTTCAGTCTCATCATATAACAGCTATTCTTTGGCTAGAGGTGAAATTTCTCCCATTTTTCAAGGCTCAAAAGGTCCAAATGAGTTGAATCCCCCTTGATCTGAGTCGTTCTCAACCTGAAGGCTAAAACATACAGGATCCTTATTGAGCACGTAACGTCAGCGTCGTGTATCATACAGCAAATAGGTTGCCATTCTAATCAATGCAGCATTGCATAAAGGACGTGTATCAGCTCCATTGCAGCTCAGTATCAGAAGCGTATCGCGAGCAGCACTGCTAAAGATAAGCGACAAGTCTATTTTTGCTGCTTTACGCTTCCAGTACGTGTCAGTGTCCACAGAGAAGATCATTCTAGACAGGAAGTCAAGCACAAAAACCATGCATGTCATCAGGTATTTTAAAATAAAAACCCCACATGCGAATTCCCTACTGTGCATCAGTTTGTGTAGATGAGAAATACTTCTTGGTTATGGATTTATCAGTAACGCAGAATGATCCGATGGTCATACCCTGATCCATGTGGACCCCAACAGGACTTTAAACTGCTAATTCTGTCTGAAAGTAACAGCACTGCGCAAAATAACATAGTTTACTTTATTAAAGTAAACCTGCAAGAAACGAAACTGTAAAATTGTGAATCATGTCCAAATTAGCAGGAAATAGACCACAGAAAGTAAAAACAACCTGTTGTGAGCGTGTTGTTTTCTCTATACAGAGCCCAGCTGACTGAGGCTGCACTACGCTGTTGCCAGCTCCAAATACACATCCTGTGTGAGGTAGACAGCACTGCTCAACGGAGCAAACACGCAACACACTCGATACGGCTCCTGTTGGTTTTTGGCTAGATACGTCCACTCACCTGGATATCACAGCTGCACAGGGCACACCAAAAGCAATAAAGGTATTTTAAACAACCAAATGAGTATATAATGTGTCTTTGTTTTGGTCACTTTAACTTTTTTAATATAGGAGAGCATGAGTGGTAATGAACACCAGACTCCAAACAGGGTGAACAGGTGGGTAGCACTTCCATGGCAGCCTCCTCACTGTAGGAATTTACACCAGACTTGACATTTCACATCACAGTCAAGCTAAAACATTTGCCTGCATATTTGTCTTAATTCATCAACACTAAACTGAACATGGTCATTCTGTTGAATGAGGTGGACAGGACTCCTGCAGAAATGTTGAGGGTGACAATTTTGTTTTTATTCAGCTTTTCTTCACTGAGATATTGCAGCTGACACACCTTTACATGAGGCAAAAGTAACGACTTTTAAAGGGATAGTTAGGCTGTAGGATTACATGTCACTAGTAGGTGTACCAGCCACAAGGGACACCAGTAAGCTCTGCCCCTTTATACAAAGTGGCAGTAAAAACCAGACACTAGGCTGCAGTCTGGGACTCTTTAGCTGATTGAGGGACTACAGACCATAACACTCAACTCAGTTCAAGTGTACTTTTCCAAAAACAGCACTACTTTACTAACACCCTTGCAAAGGCAGCTGCAGGGCATGGCAGGGAGACTTCCCTCATAACTCTTTTGGGGAACCACACGACCAGTTACTATAGTGTGTTGACTTCTTGAGCCAAAGGATTAACTACGTACAATTACTTACCACTCTTAACATTTTTGTGATGGTAAAAAGAAAAAAAATCTGTGCTTGTGTTTTTGTTCTGTGATAGTATTTTCAAATACTTTTGATCAAACCATCTAGGACAACCTTTCAGATATCTAACACATGTTCTCCTTTTGAGGTGCAGATAGCCATAACCAGTTCATAGTTTGTGAAAAGCTGTGCAGTGCCTGTAGTATTAGATCCAGCCTCTGCATGATGTGTTTGCTAATTGATTGTTGGTCTGTATGCTATATCATGTTAAAGAATAAGGTAAAAAGAAGCTTTTGGTTGCTCCTGATCAAAACTCAGCTAAGCTGGGGGGAGAGAGTAGATGGTGTCAGTAATGGTTTTCCTTGTTCCGATCTGTGCATATTTGATGTTTCTCACCACAGACCGCAGACTGAGGCACTGATATGTTCAGCTCTCAAACGTACAGAGAACTGAGGCACCGAGTGATTTCACAGATGAAAGCTGTCAGCACCACCCTCTCCATTCAGGGAGCCTTGAGAATAATATTACATCAGAGCCTTTTGTGACTAAAGAACAATGGTTCTGAGCCTGAATAGAGCTTAGATGAGATGACACCTGAAAAAAAAAAAAGGTGGTGATCGTGGGGTGGGGAAAACTACCTTGACAAAAATCATAGAAATTCAAGTTCATGCAAGGTAATGACTCATTCTGGTTGTCATCTATAATAACAGTGTGTAAGCTGTGTAGGTGTAGGTAAGACTTGATTTCCCATTAAAGTCATGGTTTTACAGCAAACATTTACAGATGCACTTTTACTGCTGTGATGATAAAAGGTTTTAGTGTCGTAGAGGTGGTGGGCTTACAGCAACCCATCAATCCCAGCGCCAACACAAACAAGATGACAGGTCAGCTGATTACCTTCTCTGCTTTCAACTGGCGAATGTCAAATTCGGCATTCTGCTTTTATCTCTTTGGTCTGCCTTCTCTTCCTACTTCCTCAGCAAACCACTTTGCAACCCTTCTCTGGAGGCTTTATGATGGATAATAATAAGGTTGATATGAAATCAAAATGCTGCTACTAATACTA